AATGTATCTCATGATATCACAATAAACAAATCCCAAGATCCTCAAATACATAAATCCTCTCAGTGTGTACAGATCATGCCGACGCCTTCCCGCGATCCTCGCTCGTACCTGAAACACATAACATAATAACTGTAAGCATAAATGCTTAGTGAGTTCCCCAAAATACCACATACCACACATACGCCCTTCCAGGCCATAAATCTATAAGATCTTCTGATCCATGTGTCTCAGGGACTTCCGTCCCAAACCCCAGTCGACCTTCCGGTCCTACCCGTATCGACCTTCCGGTCCGTAACCTCTTGACCTTCCGATCCATATCATCTTGACCTTCCGGTCCATATCGTCTTGACCTTCCGGTCCATACCATACATAACATACATATCACATACATATCACATAACCGCATATAGCACATACATCTCATATCATACAAGACCTTCCGGTCACACATAGGTACCCTTCCAGGTACAGTATAGTGAGAAGACTCACCTCGTATGATGTCTAGTAACTCACGTGCTCGATATCCCTGAATCTCGAAACAACGACCTAGCCCCGCCTAATAACATAAAGTAATTATTTCAAATCATTAACGGCACTCAAGGCTGGACTATTCCCTCTCTTAGTACTCTCAGAAGGGTAAAAGACCATTTTACCCCTCTCATGGCTCAAGGACCCAAATGTTGACCAAACCCTAAAAGTCAACAAAAGTCAACTCTCCGGGTTACGCTGCGCGTACCAAACATGTACGCTGGGCGTACCCGGCAACCTCACAGAATCGGGATCTCCGACCCTTACGCTACGCGTACTGAGAGTTACGCCCATCGTAAGTCTCAGTTTCAGCCATTCCATGGATTTTGGTCTTAAACGGTTAAGACACTCCTTCAACTTCCAGATCTGACTCTCCTTAAGCCTCTTATCCCATAAAGTCGGAACCTTTAAGCCTTTGCATGGCTATAAAGGTCCCTACACCCTATAACACCTTTCCTTTCTCCTCCAAAGGTCTAGATCTCATGCATGGCTCAATATTTACGTCCAAGATTGCATTTTTATGGACATACAATTCATATAGTCCTGCAATATGATAGATCTAGGCCAATGGAGACCATTTGCTCATAAAGTCTCCATCTTGGGACCAAAAACCCTAGAAATTGGTCCAAGAAGCACACAACACAAATGACAAGGCAAGTTTTGAGCTTTTTACCTTAGGAAGAAGCTCCAACCTATGAAAAGCTCGGATCTACTCTTTCCCACAAACTTCTAGCTTCCAAAATGGCCTCTTCTTCTCTTCCACCACCTTGAAATGACACTTAGAAGCTTAGAACACCAACACACTAGCTAGAAACGAAGGAGGACTCTCTTTTTGGGGTTTCACTCTCTGAAATGGAGGCTGAGGTCGAGGCCATAGCCTTCCTTTTATAGTGCTCAAGTCATTTTAGGGTTTTTGCATCTGGCCCGGTTACGCCCGACGTAACCTTGGTACGCCCAGCGTACCTTTAAGGGTCCGCGTCCATTTCAAGTGCATGAGTACGCGCAGCGTACTCTTCAGTACGCCCAGCGTACTCATTTGCCATAACTTTCCTTTTAAGGGCTAAACTTGACAACTTGGAAAAGAAGAAGGGTTAAATAGCTGTACCTGAATTTCGGGATGTTACAATTCTTCAATCATAAGCCCTTTAAGAGCTTCCCAGCCCATAACATTAGCCACTATTAATGTTAGTGACTTGACATGGCTATTCCACCACGTCATGGCTCTTTCAGAGAAGGTGCATGCAGCAAATTTGACTTTGCTCCCTTCAGTACATGAGCAGATCTCAAAGATCGACTCCGTCTTTTCAAACCATTGCGACAGAGCAATGATTCCACCGATTCCGTTAAAGCCTCGGGGCTTACAGTTGGTGAAGTCTTTATAGGAGCACTCTCGCGAGCGCATGATGACTTCACCTTGAGTGGAATGAACAGAAGTTCCACCTCCACTAGTACCTTGGTTGTTGGTGTATTGAGCCATAGTTGTCGCAACAGCTGCAGCCACCGCAACATTAAGAGCTGTCGTATCGAATTGTGGAGGAGGTGGTGTTTGAGTTGGAATTATCGGAGGATTGCGCCTTGTTGACTTACGAGGCGACATCTTTCAACTATAAATTTACAAAGTTGAAAACAATGATAAGAATCCAATAGTGAAGAAAATAAATGAGTCCCATGAGCTAAATCGCCATAGCTCAATAACTAGATAATGAGTTCAATAGAGTCCTAGTGGTAGAAAAATGAACGCATTTGGACAAAGATTTCCACAGGAGATTAATTGACTGCCAATATCATTGATATTAAGGATATAATAAGTTTGGGAAAATTGACCTAAGAGTAGGTCTTACATCATATCAGAAGTAGGAAAATTTTGAGCAGTACAAAGACCTAACAGACTTAAAGTTCAAGGTCTTAACATAAGTGGAAAATTAATACTAGCGTCTATACGTAGACCTAATTATATCCAAAAGATAGAGTAGAGCACAGTCTACTTCCTGCTAGATCCTGCTTTGGATTTAGACAGTCGGCGTTCCAGTTCGTGCATACGCCTGTCCTGTCCCAACAGACGATCTCGCAAGTCTCGATATTCGGCTCGGGATGCCGCTAGTTCTCCTTGTAAGAAGTTGGTACGATCTCTCGTCGCGCCATGTTGGTCTTCCAGATTACGAAGACGAACAGCGTCGATTCCAGCGGTAGCTTCGCTCTGTAGCAGACGATCGTTGGTAATTCTCCCCTGTTAGATATTCCGAGCAATACGACAAATCAACACAGGAAGCACCCTATCTGCTGACCCTCCGGCTTCTAAATTGTAAAAGCTTCGGTCTCCTTGATAGGGGTGATTCTGACCTTGCTCATTGCTCCACCTGTCCATGCATACGACCCACAGAGGCGTCAGGCCTAGAAAAGCCGGACGAGGGTTTGGATTTGGGATTTGAGCCACCGTGGGTAGGTTATTAACTTCGGGTTCGGAGTCAGAATCCTCCGAGAAGTTCTCTGTGAAGTCATCATCCAAAGGGATTGGATGATTCTCTTCTGGCTCTGCATCGAGCCATCCTTCGTTTCCTTGGTTGGGAAAGTACGGATCTCCGGGGATATGGAATCCAACCATGTTATCTACGCGAGAATAGGGGTAAAAGAAATAGTTAATAGGCGCACTAAATAAGATAATTATAAGATGATCCTTATCAGTTACTCCAATATTTGCGTAGTGCATACCAGTCATATGTAACCAAAAGGAAAGTACGGCCTCATGAGTTTACGACCATAGGGTTTACGTCCCTATGAGTTTACGACCGTAAACTCAAGAAGTTTTGTGCCAAAGAGGCGTTTTAAGGTCTTACAAACCACAAGGAAGTGTTCTAGACTCAAGTCCAAGCCTTAGGAAGGGATTATGGTTCAAATGCACCTCTAACTAGGGTTTACGGCCAAGGGAGATGCTCCTGGCCGTAAACACCTATTGTTCTTGGGAAATGGACGATTTCAAGGTGTAAATCAGATGCTTCAACTAGCTAACAAGTATCGGGAAAGGATACTTACGATATGGAAGCTTAAAGAGTTGATTTCGGACCAAAGAACTAGTGTGTATTCTTGGTGTTCTTGATGTTCTTGTTGTTTTTGAAGATCTAACCCAAAATAGATGATTTCATGGATGAAATCAAAGGGTGGTACTAGAATAAGCTTTGTATCAACAAATCAAATGGAAAGAATTCTTACAATTTTGAAGATCAAAGTGAAGAACTCGATGATACTTGAGAGAGAATGGAAGTTTCTTGACTTGGAAATGAGAATAATGAAGAAAGTGAAGGAGTATCATGCTTATAGAAGGAGTTCACGACCAAGGAGGTGTTTACGGCCGTAAGCTCCTTGTTTGCGGCCGTAAACTACTTTTGATGGAGTTTATGGCATGAATGTTGCACATTGAACCCTAGAAGATACTTCCTAACACCCGAACCTTGAATGTACTATGCTTAGAACACTCAAACAGACTGTAAACAGTGCTAAATGATAGCAGAAATAAGTCTGACTTTGATTGAGTTGAATGGTTGTACAAGATAGAAATTTCGGGTTGTCACAAATACCAGGGAAAGGGAGGGTCACTAAAAACGAATGTGTACACATTCTTTTAACTAACAACAGAATCCTCAAAAATTGCTTCAACAAAGAACTTGAAGCTAAAGAGATTTTTTCTTAATTAAACAACACTACCGGATTAAAAGATTGATGTTATAATATCGAGAACAAACACAATCCAATTCTAAAAACTGAGCAGGCGATGATCAAACCCTATATACTTTCTGATATCTACACGAAAGAGAAGATCTTGTTCTTTTGAATATATGAAGCCAAATTTAAAATTCATAAAATGAATATGAATGAAGCATTTACATATAGTTATTTCGCAAAGAACATGACCGATGGTGGTATGGGAAGATAAAAGACGCTCCGATCTTCTTCCAGATAAAGGCTTCGATACACTCTAGGTTGTGGTGGTGGTCGTCTGCTTTAAAGTGATTTAGGCCAGGGAAAACTGCATGTCGTTTTAAATATAAACAAAATCTCCGAGATTTGGGGATTTGATGTATTTAAAAATTTGAACCACTGATTTGGTTTCCAAAACTATTGGAGAAATTGCAGAAGAAACGGTTGAACAATAGAAGGTTTCCACATTTCTTGGTATTTTTTTGGATACTATCGATTTGAAACTGCTGAAAAGAAGGAGTATATGTTTGACTGTAAGGGCAAATGTGGAATTTCACTTATATGTTTTGAGCGGGAAAATTAGATTGGGGAGAGGCTTAGCAATTGCCACGTGGCAATAGAGGTACTTATTTATTAGGATTAGTGATTTAATTTAGAATTAAACCGTAAACTGTCATAAATATTAGAACTTTGTTTGAGATTTCTCTAAATTTAAAATCACAAACCGGTGTTTTCTCCGGTTTATAACTAGTAAATATGACATGGATTCATTAATGGGCAGAAAATAAAGTTGGCCACTGGGAGTCTGGGAGTAGAGCATGCGGACCATTGAAAGGCGACCCACAGGAAGACTCCGCCCACATATCTCCCCGCCAAACCCAAACAAAAGATCAAAATCAAAAACCTAAAAAATGGGAAATTTCAAAATTCTATGATCCAATCCTCCAATTGCATCCTTGACTTTGATCAATGCTTTCCTAACCACAAGTTCTAGATACACTATACACTCCACCTCACAAGTGTCCTCCCTTTCTAAGCTAATCTCCACCTCTCATTTTGCTAACCTGTTTGTGACCCACTTTCTCTCTCTAAGCCTTGTGCTACCCTGGGAAGAACTCAAGTTAATCTCTTGAAATTTGAGATTACAACTAAGGAATTTTGATAGTTTTTGTTCTGGGTGAAGCTTACAGTGATTCCTCATTGATGTTTAGATAACGAATTTATCTTATATTGCGGATAATCGGCGATGTGTGGGTTAAGAAGTGACTGCTGCTATTTGGTTGTGGGATTATTGAGCTTTGAAGGTGATATTTACAACGATGTTTGAGTGGGAAGGCGAAGAGGTTTGTAGAAATTCCCTTTTTGCTGTTCGATTTTTTTCTTTTACTTCAATAAATGTTTGCTTATAGAAAAAATAAAGTACTCTTTTCATACTTCCCTGTGAATTTAGTTTGAGGCGATTAACGTTTAATGGTGTTCTTGGATGATCATCAGAGAGACTTTTATTAACAGAGTAAAAAATAAGACCACAACTCCTTTTATATGTTGGATACATTACAGTTTTTCCATAAAAAAACTGTCTTTATATCCATAAAATATGATATCATTAAGGCAAAGTTAAAGATAAATTTAATAATAAATCATAGGATAAAATGAATTTAGATGTGCCCTATTTGACACAAGACCCCACCAATCATATCTATAATTCCATTAAGCCAAAATTTTAAAAAACGAACACGTTTTGATTCATGTAACAAATCAACATTATTACTTAATAAAAGTATATCATGAACATATAACACAAAGTATAACTTAAATGCGTATATTTACTCATCTACTTGATTTTTTTATGAAGCTATTTCTCTTCGTGACTTTATCAAATTTTGGATACCATTGTCAAGATGTTTGTTTAAGCCCATAATCCGATTTCTGTTTTTTTCAACCACTATGATCAATGCATCTATCTACCTTTACTTGTAATTATAGTTTCTATAGTAATTTCAGCTTCATATTGTTTGGATATTTGTAATACAAATGGAGCTTACATTTAACTTATACATTAAAAAAAAAAAAAAATTCAGCTTGCGAATATCATATGGGGAAAGACAGGTGAAAATGAAGATCACATTGTGCCATATCCTGATGAAACTTATGAGATAACTACAGAGTTATATGAGGAAAACAGAAAGGTGTCTCCATTTAATGCTACAAAACTGGATCTTGAACACAAAGGTATAAACTTTTTCTACAAATTTAGTTCATACATCCAAGCTTTAGGGGTTTGGTTTGTATAATGTTATTGGGAGGAATGGAATCTGTGAAAGGAATTGGAATATGAAGGAATCATAATTTATCACGCGTTTTGTTGATAGGAAAGGAATGTAATTCAATGATCAAAATTTGATTATGTTATATAATTAAATATTTTTTGTTTAGTATAATACAGGGTTAATCTCATAAAAGACCTTATATTTTGTGTTTTCTCCTGGATTAAAACTCAACTTTATTTTTTTCCTGAAAAAGACCTTGCATTTTTCATGTTTTCCAGTCTGGCCTGTTTAGTCATTTTTTTTTTCCGAAAAAACATTTAAAATGTGAGGGTTTTTTCGAGAAAAACTAAAAAAGTCGAGGGTTTATTTGGAAACAGTTAGAAAGTTGAGGGTTTTTTTTTCAGAAAAAAAAGACAAAGTTTAGGGTTTTTTTCGGAAAAATGAAAAAATACAAGGTCTTTTTCGGGGAAAAACAATAAAAATGAGGTTTAATCCGGCGAAAACACAAAATATAAGGTCTTTTATGAGATTAACCCATATAATTATATGTAATTAAATTCTTGTTGTTATATATTTTAACATGTATAAATGTGCGTATTTTAGTCTTTTCATATAAAAGAAGAACGAAATTGAATTCCTTCCACACTCCCTTAGGAATAGTGAAATCCATCAAACATGTAATTTAAACGATTCCAACATTGTTGAATTCCATCCATTTGGCAACCAAACACGCCCCAGGAATGGAATCTTGAATTCCAATTCCATCGGAATCCATGAACAAAACACACCCTCATTTTTTCTGGAGTTTCTACAAGCATCAGTATGAGGGTTGATACATATATGTCTTAATGGTGTGCATTTATTGTTAGTAGATTTTGGGTTCTAAAATGTCATTGATTTTTAACAGATGAAAAGGCTCTAGTAGATAGTAATTTTGTTGATTATGGTTGGACAAATGTGGGGAGCTTTGATGATCTTGATAGAATATTAAGGTAATGTACTTATTGTTCACTTAATTCAAATATTATAATCCATATTTTATTCCATGATTATATTTGATCCTTCTGATGTTATTCATCTGACCCAATATCCTCACAAGTGATGTTTTGCAGCAACAATGACCTGGTGTATGAAAACACAAACATTTCATCTATGGAATCTCCAAGTTTGCATATAAAAGATGTAAACACAAATTTGGAGCTAATGGAATGCAGTGAGGGTAAAAATGGAAAGGTATTGTTCGTATAACTTTAGTTTTATGGTTTGTTTTTGGATAAAAATCCTGAGCATGTTCACTGTGGTTGTGCACATGAGCTACATATGGGGAGCTATCATAGATTTATCGGTTTTCACAGTCAGCTTCTTCAAATAATGCACAAAGAACCTCATCCCTTGTTTATCCGAATGGTGATGTCAATGTTGCAATGCCAGATGAAAACGGAATCGGAATCGGAATCGGAAAGGTAATTCCGGTTCTAGATGTTAGTGGAGCTATATGTTGTTTGCTGCTTCTGAGAGTAAAAGGGTGCTTGGAATTTCATTTAAAAACAACTTATTGACTTATTGGCTTTTTGAAAAGTCAATAAGTCAAAAAAAGTGTTTGAAAATATGAAAATGACTTTTAAAATAACTTCTCATTAACCCTTCAAAAAGGAGATTTCAATAAGTTAGAATTTCTAACTTTTCAAAACTTCTTTTAACTTTTTGAGTTGTAAAAGTCAAATACCCTTAAAACATGTATAAGCTAAGACAAACACTTTTTAAAAAACAACTTATTGACTTATTGACTTTGTGGTAATGAATGACTTTCGGTTGTTGTAAGCTTTATGAGTGTTTCTTTTTGACTTGATGCAAAAAGAATGACTTGGGTCCTATTTGGTTGCCTCTTAATTGAAAATATTTATGTTTGATTTGGATTTTGTATGGTGTTATTCAAGGAGTTGGTTTAGTTATATTTATAAAACAGAAACATTGAATTCAACAAAAAGTAATACAGAATGGTAAAATGGTCATTTTTATCATTCAACACAGCAATTCAGAGGTTCCAACCAAACAACATGTTAAAAATCCAAATCTTAAAAATTCAGACCCTTTTAGAAATGCAAAATGGTAAAATGGTCATTTTGCCCTTCTTGCCCTTTCCAACATACATACTTTTGAGTGGTGGCTTAAGCAGATACTCAAGAATTGATGCATTTTTGTAATAAAGATGCATCTACTTACCTTATCATGAATCAAGTTTACTAGAATTTGTCTTCACATCATAGCAAACACAACCAAAATTCCATAAGTCTATTGTAATATTCCTTTTATATGTTCATAAGTTGTATAGATTCTCGTGACAAATACTTTGTGTTATCACTTTGAAGGCTTTTTATCTTGGTTCCAAATTGGTTTTAGTATTTCATTACTCCTTGATATAATATCATTTGCTTTTTTTTTTAATTGTTGTGAACTTTGTGCATTCTTATATGCATTTTAGAGCTTATAATATTTCTTTGCATATACAGCCACATATGGGCAATAAAGGTGAAACATGTGATCCTTGGTTTTCTCTTGGAAATCAAGGTAAAGAATTTGAAAAAGGGTATACACAACATATCAAAATACCTTCTTCAATGTCTAGAAATCAAGAAACTGAATACAAGAAATCTCCTTGTGGTTATAACAACATAATGGGAAATCAGCAATTTCAATCTGGAAGCTCTTCTTTGATGATGCCTTTGAGTATGATGACACCTCAAGAAAAGATTGAAAAACTAAGGAGGCGTCAACAAATGAGGGCATTGTTTGCTATATGTAAACAACAACAAGAGTTTAGACAAAATTCAAGTTTCACAAGTTGTTCAAATGAAAGCCAAATTGATGAAAGTTTGAGCACTCTTATGATGAACACAAGTTCAAGTTCATTGGAAGATGCCATTTTACATCAACTAGAAAATGTTGTTTCAACGGTAAATCATATTATAAGAGAAATTAAATATCATCCTACTTTTTCTTCCTACTTATCTTCCTACCTATGTGAAATGGTGACAAGTGTCATACTTTGATAAAATTAATAATATTTTAAGACACTTGTTATCATTTCACATGGGTAGGAAGAAAAGTAGGAGGATATTTAATTTCTCATATTATAATGATAGTTTTTGTTATGATGGAATCAAGGAAGGAATGGAATGAGTTATTCAATTGGATGAAAAAAGCTGTTTGTTTTGCATGAAGTATGATGGAATGGAATGGACTATTCTTAAAGAAATGAGATTCCTTCCATTTTGATAAATTTTTTTTGGGAAAGACATTCTGTTAATTTTCATTCATTAGCTTGGGGGTATAATTTCTATTCCATCATGGATAGGAATGAAAAATTGCAATATAACCCATTTTTATTTTTGAGATTTTTATTGACTAATCCTTTTCTAAAGATTTCATGATTTTAGTCGAGGTATAATTTTATTTTTTGAAATAGCTATAAAATGTATTTTAATATGATCTTATTTGGGTTTTAATGAACTATTATTATGTTTTCCTTTTCATATTTGTACATAAAAGTTCATTATTTTTAATTTAATTAAGCATTTTTAATGAAAAGTGTATTTCTAAAGTTTCATGATGTTAATTAAATTATAATTTTATTTCTTGAACTAACTAATAATTTTTTTTTTTTATTGTAACCTTATTTTGTAATGAGCTTTATTTTGTTAGATTTTTCATATTTGTAATTAAAAGTTGATTATTTATAACTACATTCTGTAATTTAAATGACAAGTCTTTTTCTTAAGTTTTCATGACTTTCAATTGAATTATACTTTTATTTTCTAATATAATTTGAAAAATATTCTTTATTATAATCTTATTTGGGCTTTAATGAGCTTTTACTATGCATTTAATTTTTCATGTTTGTATATACATACAAGTTCATTAATTATAATTACATAATGTATGGAGTAGACTTAAATCTAGACATTCTATTTACATATAATATTAAAAATTCAAATGAAAACTCATTCCATTCCTACTGACAAACCAAACATGATTATGGAATGTAATGACTCATTCCATTCCATCAATACAAAAAAAGATGGGTGATCTTGTGAGAGGCTAATAAAGAGGTATTTCTTGCAGTTAGGCATTCAAATAAGGCTTTGTATAAGAGATAGTTTGTTTCGATTGGCTCAAAATGCATTGGAGAGGAAATATGCAATTAGTTCCAATGAACAAGTGCCTAATGTTGTCACTCAAGAAAGATTAGGTGAAACAAAGAGGTTAGTTATATAATCATCAATATGTCATTGTCAATTTGTTTTATAAGGCTAAGTATTCATTTGAGTTTTGTTTTCATGTATAAACTATATAATACATGTATTGTGAACACCTAATTCATCTTCTAAATATGAGGGGGTGTTTGGTTCGCATGATGTTTTTGGAAGGAATGGAATCTTTCAAAAGAATCGGAATTGAAGGGAATTGGAATATGAAAGATTTGTAATTTGCCATGTGTTTGATCGGTAGGAAATGATATGGAATTCAATACTAAAAGTTGAATATAGTTAAGTTTTTTACTTATATTTAATTTTTTTTGTTATTTGAATATATGCAATGAGGGTGTTTTGGTCTTATAATAAAAAAAAGGAAGAATGGAATTGAATTCCTTCCACCCACCCCTACGAATAGTGAAATTTGAAGGAATGTGACGGAATTGAATTCCATCCATTTGCATCCATAAATGCCATGGAATGGAATCCTGAATTCCAATTCTGTCAAAAATCCAGGGTACCATTTTTTTTTTAAATTGTTAATAAAGTATAATGGATTAATTACTAAAGAAAATAATTAAGTGGCTAAACTGATAAAATGGTGAAAGTATAAGTAGTCAATCTTGATTGTTCCTTTCAATGACAGCTCAGCAAGAAAGCCTGATGGAGAGACAAAGACAAATCCAATAGACCGCATTGTGGCTCATTTGCTTTTTCATAGGCCACCCGAGTTATCTGGAGAACATCTGCAGTCACAAGGGTAATTCTGTCTTTTACACCTGCAGTTTTTTAGCTTTTAATATCTTTATAGGGTTAAATGTGCATCTATTTAAGAACGTGTCACCTTTTCCCTAGTTTATGCAACACAGGAGTTTTGTGTTATGAAATATGCAATAATTCTTCATTTTAAGTCCAAAAGATGCAACATTTTAAGTGAAAATGAAAACCACTTTGTTGCATAAGTTTGAAGGGCTAGATTGCAAGAAATAGCAATTTACTTTTCTTTATTTATTATTTGTAGCATTATATTTTTATTTCTTCTTTTATTACAAGTTTACAACACTACACTTTGAGAAATCTACCCAATTGTAGCAGTGTTATACAAATACAAAACAGTTTTCAATGCTATAATTGGGGACATTTTTCAAAGTGAAAGGTTCTAATAAGAAAAATATACAAGTGCAATGCAATAATTGGATAGATTTTTCATTGTAGGATGCCTTGATAAGAACAAAAAACATTGAAAGCCCAATGTTCAAGAGAAAGAAATGAAAGTAGGATGCTATCATGCTATAATAAACAAATGATTTGAATTATATTGTTGTTGCTTGCATTTAGCCCTAAATCAAAGAATAAGTGAAAGTGAAACTATTTGTGGGATTTTAATGATTATGGACAAAGTTTTGAAAATATTAACTGAAAACAATCATCCAACTGTCATTTTTTGCCCAAAAATCACTCGTAACGTGTGTGTGGGTGTTTTTTTTTTTTTTTCTTAATTATTGTTGTATGGATTCTTGGTGAATGCTCTCATTTTTGTCTCAGCTGAGTAAAATCCTTTCGGGCATGATTTTGTTGAATAGTGGAAGCCTACACCTCATTGATTATTTAAGTATTGTAGAATTCGACTTACTTCAAAAAGGTGTATTTGTATTTGTATTTGTATTTGTTGTGGAGGGGCGAAGCCACTTTACTTAAACTATGAACTTGATTTTTGTTACGCATATACCTCTTTTGCCAATGTGTAACATAGAAAATACATAATAGTTTTTGTGAGTATTAAATATTTGTTAGACATAATCGACTTGATGAAATATATGTTTTTTTACCTAGTTGAAACTTGAAAGGTTTATAATAGGTTTTCATTGAGGTTACTCAAAAAATAAAGAGTTCAAAGTTTTTTTAGGTCATCCGATATACTTACCACTACCACAAATGTGGTGAGGACGTGGGGGGTCATGTAGGTAGGGGTGCACAAACCAGTTTTTTTTCCAAACCAGTTCGGTTCAAGTCAACATGGTCAACACCGGTTCAAGGCTAAACCGGTTTCTTCAATAAAAATATATGAACTTTGTAAACCGGTCCGGGAGGAAACCGGTTCATTGAACTCTTTTGTTGTTTTTTTTTTTGGCGATTTAAATCAAAATAAATAGATGAGTTTGACAGCAAGAAAACAGAAAAGTGGAGGTTTCCTGTAGAAAAGTAGTTGCACGCTTTCGTTAATTCCCATGCATGTGTCCATCATGTTTTTGTTTATTAGGCCATACGGTATGGAGACATTCTCACGCGTAGATATCCTACGTGGATCCTATGTGGAATGGTTTTCCACTAGTGAACACCACCCCAATGTATAGTGGGTGTCTTGTGAAGTGGTGGCTACCACGAAAAATCACCAAAGGCATTGTGTCTATCTCTCTCTTCCTTTTCTCTCCCTCTCTCTTCTTTATTGGTTGTTCACTAGTTCTTCACCAGTGAACACCATCCCCAAAGTATAGTGGGTTGGTTGTGAAAGGGCTATGAAATTGTTTTCACGCGTATATATGTTGTAAGGATATCAGATAGCCTTATTGCCCATGCCTCTCTCTCCATCGTACAATATATATATATATATATATATATATATAATATATATATATATATATATATATATATATATATATATATATATATATATAGGGTTAGGTTATTTTATTTTTATTAACTATTGTGTGCCAAAATGCACAGATCTGGACCACCGGATGGAATAGAATTAAATGTCATGATCTGAGGGTCTATAATATTAAAATAGGATAACATGTACCATATAATCACACAAATTTCAGCATAAGGGCATTTTAGTCAATTAACCTATATTAAAAAAGGAAATTTTCGGATTTTTAGGGATAATTAATTCCTTTATTTTTAAAATTTTGAATATTTTAAATTAATTCAAATTTAAAAATCCGATTTTATTCTGTCAGAATGATAGAATGCCAACCATAAACTAGTAAATATATTTTTCGATTTTATTCTGTCAGAATGACAGAATGCCAACCATAAACTAGTAAATACATTCTGAAAGAATATACAAAATTGATTCTTGAACTAATAATATACCAAATAATTACATTGTATGAATGTGATTCATTGAATAATAACAACATTCTGAAAGAATAACAAGTGTAATTCTTAAAAAATAACAACATTCTTAAACAGTGAGTGTGATCATTCTTTAATTCATTTTTCAAGACTTTCCCATCAGGTCTTCAAGCCATGCTTCAAGCCAATTCTATCACAAATTCATTGCCAAATATATTGTAGTGATACACTTGTAACAACTGCACATTAAACATATAAATAATTAACTACAATTCTATCAGAATACAACAATAATATTCTTACAGAATAAACTATTTCTTGCAGAATGGTTTTGAATATTCTTAAAGAATTTGTATTATCAAGAATATACCCAACAAACAAAAACATTTGAAATATAAATGCATGAAAAGATCATGTTAACACAAAATGTGACTAAGAAAAAAAAAACAATTAAAATATATAAACAGAGAAGAGACCTCTATATATGATGCAGCAGCCTCAGAATGTTTCTCATTTGTCCTTGCGATAAATATATCCCAAAAGACAGACCACCATTCCAAAAGAAAACCACCAGGAGATGCAATTCTTGATTTAACTCCATCTTCACATTCTGTTGTGGTAATAACTCTACCACTAATGAGTAAAGCTCTCTCCCGGCAAGGAAATCGTAGATCTAGAGAGAGAAAATCGGTGTTCTCAGAGTTAGGAGGGAGTCTATGGTCGGAGGAGTTGAAGGGGGACTTCAAGGAGATGAACGTCGGAGGTGGGGAAGGATACGATGTATTTTGATAAAGGGGTCGGTGGGTGATTTTATAGGGTTTATAAATTGATTTTCCTTTTCTTGATTTAAAGGTTATTAAAGATTCCAATTAATTACCATAATTAATCATAGCAAGATTACAAATATACCCTTATTAATTTAATTAATTATTTAATTATTTCCTAAATTCCTATTAGTGCATTCATGCACACAATAGTTGTTAGAAACATTTGAACCTATATATATATATATATATATATATATATATATATATATATATATATATATATATATATATTTGGAGTTCCTTTGTACATGACTTTGCTTTTCGAGTTCCTTTGCCCGATGGAAAGCAAACAAAGCAAACAGGGGAGGTGGTGGCTTATGGCGATGGTTCCGGTGGAGATGGTGAAGGCAGGTGATGACGGTGGTGTTCGATGGTGATGAGGAGCTGTGATGATGACGGTTCTAAAACCGGTTTCCATTAAACCGGTTCTAAATCGGTTCCCACTAAACCGGTCCTAAATCTGTCCCAACATCTATAATCTCGATCATGTCCAAACTGGTGGTTCGGTTCTCGAACTGGATCGGTTCTTGAATCAGTTCACGTCGAACCGGTTTACCGGTCTATGAGGCAATTCGGTTCCCGAACCGATTTTTTTGTGCACCACTACATGTAGGCATGTAAAACAGTCTGGACTGGATCCAAAAAAACTGGAAAATGAATAAGCTGTAAACTAAGAATTTAGAACAGGTTCAATCTCTAGTGTCACTGCTATCTCATCATAACACGAACACCTCATGAGCTTTGTATAACTACTACTACACCATTTTTTTTCAATATAAAAAATTAAATAATGAAATTGAAAAAACAAATTTAAAATATGAAGAAATAGAGATGTCAAAAGGGACATGTCATCAAATGTATTTCATTGGATGTGGTCAGTTGTGATGGAGACAACTATGGACCACACTACAACCACCACAATGCACACGGGACGGTGTGCACGATAGTGGTGGGGTGTCACAGTGGCAACGAAGGCCCTTCGTGAAAGATATGTCGGATAGTATTAATACAATTATGTTTTCTGTTTTATGGAAAAAAAACTTTTTACATGATTTACGATACAAAACTGATTTTCTAGGTGAAATATGCAACTACCTTTTGTTTTAGAATCAAAATATGCAGCATTTACTATGTGAAATAATTTCATTCAACACATTTGTTATATTGATCTTCAAATTTCATGTTGCATCCCTGATCTTTTACACAATAGCACCACAACCCTTCTTCATTTTCTTATTGCAGCTCCGGTCCATCAACTTCTTGTCTCTACGCTCTCTACCTTTTTTGCCTTTATCTTATATGATTACAATTTACAAACAATGCATTTAAAATAAGTTCAAGCACAAGATTGACTAAATATGATTAATACATCATATTACCAAAAATAATATTGCGTCCAACGAACGAAAATGTCTACTAAACAACAATCTCTAAATTATTTTAGTACGGTTAGAGTTATTTTAACAATATTCTTACAAATACAGAATACTACAATAATGAAAAAATGAACATCTAATTTCCCATGTCAAACTCTATCCTAAAAAAATTGGCTTCCTTTGATTTCATATTTAACTATTTTCAAAGGTATTTCACTTTCAATTATATCACTTCATCTATGTTCTTCAACACTTTCTTCTGTACAAAATATGTACGAAATAACTGCACAATCTCTATCAATGTTCATCCCTTTAAATACAAAAAGTTCCATTCTTCACACATAAAACTCATCGATTGCTTAGAAAAATCAACTTAACTATAAAAATTTAACCTTGTAATTTGGGCAGACATGAAATTGTCTTCATGGGTTTTGATATGTTCATTAAGTTAACTCCCAAACCACACTTTCACCTAACATGGAGATTGATGTTTGCAAGTGATGAGGAGGAGAAGATAAGTAAGTCCTGAAAGCTAGAAAAAGGTAGAATTAAGGGTGTTTGGGATTGCTATTTTTAAAACGATGGTATATTATTAAAATTAGTAAGAAGCTAGATAAAAGCAATAGCAAAAGATGGGTTGTACACCCAACCAACCCCATTCATTTTGCACTTTTATGTCTAATACAAATCCAGAAGAATGAACAAGAAACAATGTCATCGAAAATGTATGCTTTCTTTAGTTTAGCCGGTCCAAAAAGATGATCACCAAAAAATTAATAATAAATCACTTTGTCAAAGCACTTTCTTTGTGTAGCATGGAGATGCACATGATCTACCCACTGAAGGATATTGCCAATCGACATATTGGTAGGTGGAACAATCCTCCACCATCTACCAACAAGGGTCCAAACTCGCAAAGTATGAGAATAATCAAAACATGGTGCACCATCTTAATGTCACCGAGACAAATATAACATAAAACAGAGTCCATTTTCCATTATTTCCTCATGTGGGGAAGTAATTTTTAGAGATGGTAGGAAGGGTATCTATAGGAAATAAACTATCTTATTCTTCGAGTTCCTCATTCGGTTCAATGAACAATGTGAAAAAGAAGAAAAAGAACTTTAATGAGAAAACAACAATGCTCAATCAAGAGAAAATGATGTGGTGTTTGCGTAGTTCCTTCCATAAGTGACCCGGAGAATCTGCCTCCAGAGTATTATGAAACCTTTGGTTACTAAGACTATGTTTATCGGTGACAAAAAAGCTAGGCGGTCATCAAAATAATATTAAAAAATTAAAAAATTGTAACAAATCCCATCGACAGAGTGGGTGTATCAACTAGCAAGTTGGTTATTTCTTTTCTCTATTTTAAATCACCGCGTCTTCATATCCAATCCTCATTTTGTATTTTTAATCCCTTTTGATTTGTATTCTCTAAATATGGATGATGAATTTCCAAATTTTTATATAAATCTTGGAGACTCTCAAAATTGTTCTAAAGCTCAATATTATGAAAACTCTACACTTATTTCAAATCCCAACCAAGATCATGTCATAAATAATCTTTAAACATCACAAAATACCGAAAAACAATCACGAGGACATAAATGAGATGTTGCATAAGATGTCGCTTTAATGTCAGTGTTTTGCTAGTGAAGATAAGAAACGACAAAAAAAACCAGAAAAAAAAACATCATTGTGGGCACAAATAAAAGAATTGTAGGATGTTGGTCGGGTTGAAAATCTAGAAAAGCTAAATAGCATGAACGAAGATCAAATGAGAGGTCAGTTTAAACGACTTAGTGAAAATGCAAAAAAGTGGGTCGAGGTATATCAGGAAGCATGGCATCGAAGAAGAAGTGGAATGAGTCAAAAAGATATTAAGAACGAAGTTGTTTATGTGGCAAGTGGGAACAAGTTTAACGACATTATTGTTTTTAATGGAGTTATGTGTAAACACGAGAAGTGGGCTTTAGAGTTAGATTGTGACACAACACGTTCTCGTCCTGAATGTGAAGTGGGTAACGAAGAAAGTGGTGGTAGCACGAAAAGATCAAGGACTACTGAAGAAGGGGAGTATTGTGTTCTAACCCAGAAACGCCGACTAGTGATGGTTCAACAGTTAAACATCCAACAGGCAGAAATGCGGCTAAAAAAAGGAAAAGGCAAGGCCTATAATGAAATTGCTACATAACTTTGATCAATGAGGTTTGCTAGAAAAAGTGAACTTGAAGTCACGAAAAAAAAAAAAAGAATCGACTTGGATAAAGAAAGGGAGCAAAAAATAGATGAAAGGGAGTTAATGAAGATGCAACTTGTGCATTTGACACACTACTACAAAAGGAGCAACTATCACTTGAAGAAGAAAACATGAAACGCTTTCTAATGTCAAAGTTTTATGGAAACTAATTACCATTAATTATGTTTTGTTTTTTTTTTGTTTTTTTTTCAATTTGTCTTTTAATGCGCTTGTAAGATATTTTATTATATTTAGTTTTGTGTGACATGTATTTGCACATGGATTTGCCATAGGGCACTTGCATACTTTTTCATCTACCAAATCGAATATTATCTTTATCATCTACAAAATCGAATATTATCTTCATTTCCATGTGTCAACTTTGTATTGGATGTTTAGATTTTATTTAGATAAACCAATTTAACATTATCTTTATTTCTTATCATTATTTTTTAGTATAAATAGAGTATAGCATTGACATACTTTGATATCCAACACTAACTCTTCATTTCTTATCTCTTTGAAAAATGTCTCATAATGAAAACTCATCAAGTTCGAATGAATATTTAGAATGGGAAGTACATGTTGTTCAAAATAATTGACAACTCGATGAAATCATCACTAAATTACTTGTAGGAGATCATCCTCCCAGAGAAAGAAGGAGGTATTGTGATCAAGAATGTGAGCAGGGTGAGACACATTTAATGGAAGACTACTTTGTTGACAACCTAACATATGATCAAGCAACCTTTCGTCGTAGATTCCGTATGCAAAAACCATTATTTCTCCGTATAGTGACAACTGTTATAGCCAATGCCCTATATTTTCAACAAAACGACGTGATGCCACAGGTAAACAAGGTATTTCACCATTGTAGAAATGTACGGCAGCCATGCGGGTCTTGGCTGTATGGGACATTAGCAGATGCACAAGATGAATATTTGAGAATGAGTGAAATTGTAACAAAGGATGTTGTAATAAAGTTCGTAAGAGGTGTCATTTCATGTTTCGAGTGAAGAGTATCTTAAAAGGCTCAATAAAGTTGATTTGGCAAGACTACTTCATGTAGGGGAGGAACGTGGATTTCCAGGTATAATAGGAAGCATTGATTGTATGCACCGGACATGGAAAATTGTCCCACCTCTTGGGCTGGACAATATATAGGTAGAAATTGTAAACCATCAATCATTTTGGAAGTTGTTGTGTTGTATAACTTATGGATATGACATGCATTCTTTAGAACACCAGGTACATGCAATGACATTAACTTCCTCCACCGGTCTCCTATTTTTGATGATGTCTTAGCAGGCCGAGCATCAAATGTGGTGAGTTACGTCGTCAATGGTCGGGAAAATAATATAACATATGATCTCACTGATGTCATATATCCTTCATGGGCTGCTTTGTCAAGTCAATAACTTCCCCCCAACTTTAAAAACACAAATTGTTCGCTAAACATCAAGAGGCCACTAGGAAAGATATTGAACGAGCATTTGGAGTTCTAAAAGCTCATTTTGTATTTCTTCGACACCCATGTCTTTTGTGGGACAAGGATATGATGGGGAAAATTATGATTACATGTATTATCATTCATGATATGAATGTGGAGGATAAAAGTTGTACATACATTCACTATTTTGATCCATCCGAATTTCTAAATGACATCCCTACAAATCGGAAATGAAAAACCTATATTGAAGATGACAAACAAAATTTAGAATATTCCACTTAATGGATTGCAGACCTATCCAATTATATGACCAATAGGGTACAACTTCGCAATAGAGAAGCTCACAACACTCTAAAAAACGATTTAATTGAGCATATATGGAAATAATTTGGCATTAATGGATGATTATGTTTGTACTATGGTTTAAGCACTTCAACGAACAATTCAAACGATTTCACAATAGACTAATTAAATGCAAACAAAATGTAAAACCTCGATCAAGGTATCAATCGAAATCACTATAATTGGTGCGGAAACCCAATCTAATGATTAACGCAAAACAGTTATAACGAATTAAGAACACAATATCAAATCTTCAATGCACACTATATTGATCAATAGTCTAGTACATAAGATCTCTATGTCTCTCGGTTCTCTCTATGTCTCTCTAAACTCGAAATCAGCTAATTAGAATGACCAACCCTTACACGTCTGAAACAATACTATATATACCTAGACCTAATTACAAAGGCCCAACCCAAAGCCCAACTGAAATCTCTTAATGATTTCGGTCCAAATAACACCAAATTTATGGTGTTTTTGGTCCTAGACCGAGAACTCTAAAAGCTATGTAAAGTAAAGTATAAACCATAAATCATGTCCCAACAATCTCCCCCTTGGTTTATAGCTTTCTTTTCTTTTCAATCTTCTCTCTGTTCTTGACTTTCAGCTTTTATCTTCGATTTCTTCACGACTTCAAGATGAACATATGAATTTCTACATGAATGACTTCATCTTGAATAGTTGGACTTCCTTTAAAATTTGAATTTGAACGCTTATTGGGTATAGAGGCTTCTTGTATAGGTTCTTGAAAATCAGCACTTTCATCTTTGAAAAACTTCAGAGATAATTACAGAGAGACCGATTCTTCTGGATCACTTCAGCAAGTTCATAGATAGCAGCAAATTGATTGAGGAGGCCTCAATGCAATTCGTCACATAACTTCAAATATAGCTTCAACTTGCTTCTGGGGTTGAAAGGTTATGTGTTGAAAAATAATCTTCACTTCTTGTTCCTTCGAATGAATATTCTTTGTCGATCACAGATGCATCTTGAAAAGTAACCATGACTAAAAAGTCCATGTGGATCACAAAGTCATAAAAAGCCTTCTCACCATAGTTGTTCAAGGACCCAACCTTGGCTCAGATGGAGACTACTCACAGTATCTGTGTGAACATGGAGGAACACACTGCGATTTGTTGAGTATCGGAGAACTACTCATGGCTATTTTTGATGTTAGCTCCTGCATATCCTCAATCAAAGATCTCAATACAGTTTTTCAAGTTAAGAAGTTAACTTGGCCCATGGTGAGTGTAACATCCCAATTTTCAAGGCCAAAAATTTCATTTTTATTAAGTAATTTATGAAATAGTTAACCAAAAACATCGCCATTGTTACATCAATCCACAAAACCATAATATCATATCTCAAAACCAAATCACCAAAAGTAATGAAAATCAGAGTACAATCCCAGGAGTCTCATAGTGCGGAATCCAGTGTGTGTGTGATGTGCTGCTACCGCACCGGCTCCTTCCCCTTCGCTGAAGAGGTACCTGAAACCAAAACTGTAAACCGTAAGCACAAAGCTTAGTGAGTTCCCCCCATCATACCACATACCACATAATTCCTATCCCTCGGTATCTTTCAACCGGTATCTGTCTGGCATAACTGGGAGTTGGGCTCCCCTTCAGTATCTTTCAACCGGTAACCGGGAGCTAACCTCCCCTTCGGTATCTTTCAACCGGTAATTGCCTTCGGTATCTTTCAACCGGTAACCGGGGACTATTTCACCCCCTACCACTATCACATAATAACATATCATATTCATACTGCTAGGCATACATGGGTACTATCTTCCCCCTTTTGGTATCTTTCAACAGGTAACTAGGGGTCATATCACCCCTACCACTACTAACACATATATCATGGCATCCTAGCACATAAAGCATATCAGATAGCAACACACCAGATAATTATCACAAAGACAATCATCTAACAAACAATTCCTTCTAGTGGGTCGGCATTGTGGCCGTAGACCCACTCCTACTGGAAGGTAACTCACCTCGATGTCGTGTAGTGTCTGAACTGTCCTCTGCGTGAAGGTCGGCTCTCCTCGACTCCTCAATCCCTACACGACAACCTTTAAGTCATCAAACCGAACATACAACCCTAACCAGGGTCAATACCAAAACCAGGTAAAGTCAACATTGGTCAAAGTCAACACCCAGTTGACCTGACTCGCCGAGTTGGTCTACTAACTCGTCGAGTCCATACTCTACTAACCCGATCCAACCCCGAATCCACTCGTCGAGTCTAGCAAGAACTCGACGAGTTCTTCTTCATTCAAACCATCGGGACCATCTTCATCCGACTCGCCGAGTTCATCCTTGAACTCGTCGAGTTCATCTCCCTCATAAGAATGTGTCCAGTCTATGACTCGCCGAGTTGTATGAACAACTCGTCGAGTCCATCTTCAAAGATTGGGAGATTGCCTTGGACTCGCCGAGTCTGTTCATACACTCGCCGAGGCCTATGATTCCCAGGTCCCTTTACGCGTCTAAACAATTAAGGGACTTCCTCCCTAACAACTGGTCCATCCACAGAAAGGATTTGGTGGTCAATACACCGCGACTCGCCGAGTTCCAAGAACAACTCGTCGAGTCCATCCTTGACCAACACTATACAGTCGATTTAAATGGGTCTTAACACACAAAAACCATAGATCTGGCCTCCTAATGTCCATTTTACACGTAAAGTTCCAAACTTGGTACACATGCAAGGGGTCTTTGGCCCAAAAAGCCATAAAAGATGGCCTCCAAAGTGCATGGGGTGTTCATGGCAACAAAATGGGCACCTTTGTGCCATAAAACCCCCCAGTAGACCTGGATCTGAAGCATTCACTAACTTCCAACACTAAATCCCAAATACAACCTCTCTAGGGGTTAGAAATATAAAGGAAAAGGTCCAAATATCAAGATCTATAGACAAAGGTTCAACTTCATACCTCCAATAAGCTGAAAATGAGCTTCAAAATCTGGATCTTCTTGTTTCCCCTTGGTCTCACAAGTTCCTTCCCTCTTCTCAAGCTTCACAACCAACCAAAAAGCACTAAAATGGCCTTAGAACACACAAAACGGCTAGGGTTTCGATATGATGTCTTCTAGGAGTATAAGGGACGATGGAGGCTGAGATAAGGTGTTTAAATAGGGTGCAAACCCTCAATTTA